AACAAAATATATATTGTGTGTTTGAGTGGTCCAGACACTACAGTGAATGCCCCTATAAATGGTCTTATATTTATGATTTAGTTTTAATCCAAATGATGCGTGTGCTAAGTGAGCGAACATCAATAAAGATCACACAACAGAAGTGCGCGCTCTCTCTCTCTCTCTCCCTCCCTACCAGTAAGTAAATTGTGCATTGTTTTACTTACTTCTTTTTGACATATCCGACCAAGCTACAAACTTTCCAGTGATGTCTGTGAGAAAGGGATATTCACTCGACAAGCTTGTGCATCTTCGCATCACGCTGAGTGGCTCAATCCACTCAGCGTGATTTGCTTACCAGCTTGCGCACATCAGCTATACAGGCGTTAATACTGAATGTTTTATATTCATTGCATACATATACTTCGTAGACATCTTTAATCTCTAACAACTCCATTCTGCTGTCTGTTGTCAGTGTTTCTTTGTCTGAATATGGCACTTATCACATGCTGTGTGGTATCGGCGTTTGGTATCGGGGCATTTTAACGAGTACGAGTACAAGTACAGGAGTTCAGTATCGGGCCCGATACCAATACCAGTATCGGTATCGGTGCATCCCTAATTCTAACACTTCCCCGGACACATCTGTGAACTTTAAAGTGAACGCTCAAAATCCATTTGTCCGAAATTACGTAGACTATGCTGAAAAAAATGGGGCATCCATTAATTGAAGAAAAATGTTTTTCGCTTCACATTATCTGTGCAATTTTAAAACTTTCTTATTCTTATTTCTTTACAGAAAAGCCACGGGAAGCATGCTTTGACCCTGGGAACATAATGAATGGAACTAGACTGGGAATGGACTACAAGTTGGGATCAACTGTAACATATCAGTGTGATTCTGGGTACACCATTGCAGGACCACCCACTCTCACCTGCATCATGGGGGCTGATGGGAAACCTGTATGGGACAAAGCTCTGCCTACGTGTAAAGGTAGGACCTGAAAATGCAGTTTCTGTACAGAGGCATTAAGGGTTAAATAGGAGTTTGGCTGCTTATTGTTGCAGAGTAATGAGGCAACTTGTCACATTAATATACAATTCAACACACATGTGTTCACAGGTGTGTGTAAACTGACTATTTTACAAATCCTCAGAATGTGGCTTTTTTTTTGTACTCAAGTGGTACATAATGTGTTTTTACACTGATGACAGACTTATATATTGGCTTGCATCTATCAAATTCTAAATTAAAAGGAATGAGATTAAGTGGCTTTTGTTTGTCAAGTATTTAATTCAATGGATTATTTAAAAATAGACATCATGACATGAATATTTAATACATAAATATTTTTTTCCGTTCCATTACCATGATTCATTAATCATACTATGGCATACTTTTTTTTAATTTAACACCGCCCACTAGTAATGTAAAGTTTTAATCATTGCTTTTTTTTTCACAGATTGGTTGGTAGTTTATTGATTTTAGAACCTTGATTTAGCCTTTTTTCCTGCAGTTTTAAATTCAAAGTATTGATGCATGTTAACTTGATTAAACACTTCTTCATCTAAAGAAATTAGCAGCAGCCTGCTTATCAGAGACAGTATTACTTTTGTTGTTTGTAATCTTTAGAGTTAATTGATTAGGCCTTTGTTACATGCATAGTTCTACTCTGTCACACTGTCAGTACCCAGCCAATATTCATTGGGTTTGGAGAAACCGTCTGGTGCTCCCATTGGCTTACACAGAGAGAGACAGATGCAGACAGAGGTCTTTGTCCCTCAGTGAGAGATGAGAGAGCCTGGGTGGTGACAAGTGCCACTCATTCACACATTTCCTGTCAACCCGAGACCTTTCTCGATTCTTCAGCTTCCCCCTCTGTCTGTCTTATATTTATTTTTTTCAAACCTGCGTTTTGGTCAAATATTCAGGCAAAGCATAGACATATCAATTAGTGTTAATAAGTGATTTGAAGATTTGCAAAAGTAATCCAAATTATTTGCTGTATATATGCTGTGTATATTATTTATTTATTTTATCAAATTCATGAAAAAGCACTTTATATGCTTCTGTTTTCTGTTTCAGAACCAAGATAGATGAAAATAAATAAATACAAACTGTAGAACTAGATATGGTGTTCAAATTTCACACGTTAATTTAGGGACCAATTCTCAACTAGTATGACTTTTGCCTCAGTAAACTCCTACCCCATACAGTTTTTCTTAGGTATAGGAAGGGTTAAGGGGTCTAAAATATCATCATGCAAAATAAGAGATTAATATGTGCTTTATAAGTACAAATAAATAGCCAATATATTAGTAATAGGCATGCTAATAAGCAACTAGTTAGTAGTGAGAATTGGTCCCTACACTAAAGCGTTACCCAAATTTTATGTTGCACTTCAAAGATATTTCAACAATTTATCATATCCAGTGAAGTGCATATCGATGTGGTTCAATAATCCGACCAATCATAATTGCACAAACACAAACACATTTCCAATACCCATCCTCCAACCCGTCATGGTTGAGTCAGTGATGCTATGTCCAGCTCAGTTGGTCCGCTCAAATAACCAGATATTAATTTTGTTTCGTGCCGCTAGCAGCGCAGAAATCGCACACTTCACTCTTATGTAATTCCCAGTGTTTTTTGTAGTAATAGCTCAAATCATGACAGAAGAAGCATGTGCTCCCTCTGAACCCAGCGTGTTCAAATACAACACCGGGTTATAGATATGAACATGCAATGAACATCATTGACCCCAATCCGAAGGTCAAACAAGGGTTTTCGCACCTCAATAGCATCCGCTGATTATTTAACCTCTTTTGATGGAGATGGAAAGCTGCTGACGCCCTTTGCGAGACAGCCTCATTTCCGCACTCCAGGAACGTTTTGTTTGTCCTCACTGATGGAATTTCCAGCACGTTGCTTCGGCCATCTTTATGCATGAGCTCTAACTGTGGGGTAGAGACATATTCCTAGACAGGTCATTGTTGAGCTAACATAATCATCTGATTGTGTCATGAGAGATGCTTTATTTGATCTTAATCATCCGCACAGAGTGTACGCAAGCCCACGTTCGCACAATCCATTAGTTTTCTGCCTGCTAAGAATCCCCCCGGCTCCTCTATTAGTTAAGTGAGTATGTCTACCAGAGACAACTGGATCCTGGATAGGTTGGACAGCCTGGCTCAGTCGATATCAGCCTCTTTAAATAACGGTAGCATGGATTTTTTTATTTTTTATAATGTAGTTTTATGGTAGCAGGGATAAACTGTTTTTTTTATATATATATATATAATAATGGAGTGTTGCAGTCAATTGCAGTTCAACCGTGCAATTTCACTGCTTCAGTTAGGCAGTCCTGTTGAAACCCCAAGCAAGCTGATTTGCTACAGTTTTACACAAACTGGAAACATCCTAGCAACTGTCTAGCAACTACTCAGAACACCTTCACAACCACATGACAAGGCCTGTGTCACATCAAACATCAGATCCCTCTTCAAACTGACAAAGTATTCAAAGGATCATATAACGTGCAGACTTCAGACTGTTTAAAACTTCTAGGCAAAGGCTGTCAATCCAACATTCAAAGTTTGCCTTGAACTTGACTTCTGTAGTTGTGATGGTGCTGGTTTGGTCCTAGCTGGTGAACCACACAGCAATCCAGTTCAACAGTAAGCATAGCCAGTGAAACTGGTTTACCAGGATAGTCTTTTTGGTGTAAATAAATAAGTCTTGGTGCATATTCTTTTCAGCTGGAAATGTAAAATTTTTTTTTGTAATATATATATATATATATATATATATATATATATATATATATATATATATATATATATAAACAGATTACCAGCAAAGTCCATTACAGCAAAATCCATCTTTTTACTTAAAGTCTTAAAAAGTCTTAAAGCGAGCTGGGACGTTCTTAAGCCCCGTTTCCACCGCAGGAACTTTCCCCAGGAACTAGGGACTTTGGGCCGGTACTCTGTGTGTTTCCACCGCAGGAACCAGGATCTAAATAAAGTTCCGGTTAAAAATGTGCCACTCAGCAGTGTTAATTTTGACAGGCATTTTTGATTTAGTCTTAGTCTTTATCTTGAGACAAAAATGCTTAATAGTCTTAGTCGCATTTTAGTCATTTGAGTCTTTCATAGTTTTAGTCTAGTTCATGGGTCGGCAACCTTTTTGTTTCGTTCGTAACATTTTAAATTTTTCTGGTTAACCACTGTGCCAATACACAAACCTTTTAAAGGGGACCTAACACACAATTTCACCCAATCACATATTAATCTTGAGTACCTATAGAGTAGTACTGCATCCTTCATATCTCCAAAAAGTCTTTAGTTTTATCATAGTTATAAAAGAAAGATACAGCTTTACGATTCTCTCCGAAAACAGCTGAGCTCCTGGAGGCGCGCCGTGGGCGGAGCTAAAGAGTGTTGAGCACTTTAACCCCCGATTGCCAACAAAACACAGACATTTGATGCAGTTTCACTTACAATCTGCAGTTCTGAATCATGACCGGGATCTTTTATAGCTGGGACCGCTCCATCTTTTTAGTATCAAAAATTGTTAATTTTAAAAACTCTGTTATTGCCCCGGAAAACAAACTGCATCCGCCGTTTACGTAACGCTTGATTCTTCAGGAAGCTGAACAAGGTTATCTTTCTCTTGGAACCAAAAACACCTCTTTAGATACATTCTTCTCGAGCGAGTCTTATGCAGCGCTGCTGAATGAAGTGCGTTGATGTGTGTGCTCTGGCTCTCGCTCTTGTCGACGTGTGCCGATTGCCAACAAAACGCTCTTCTGGGAGAAATGCCCATATAAGGAGTTCCACCCTTCATTACGTCATGAAGAGCCACGATCGAAAAAAAAAAACCTTTCAGAAACTTGTAAGAAACCCGGAAGTGTGTATTTGGCACAGAAATACTCTGTTATACATCCAAATAGTTTTTTGAAACTTTGGCCATTTTTAGTGTGAGAATCCTACTCTTTAATAGTGTAAACAACTCTGAATGCATGAAACAGCATTGTACCCCCTTTTCCTTAATGCATTCTGTATTTCTACAGTACATAAACATTTTTAAATGATACGATAAAAAAATAGGCCTATTTGATTTTCATGCAAATAGTTTCTGAAGATTTTACATAAATTATTTTTTAAACTTTTCAAAAGTTTCTTGAAAAACAGATATACAGTGTGACCGTACTGAACACCACTGTATGTGTGTGTGTGACAAGGCCAATGCATTAAAACAGTTCAGTTTAATCACCGTTCGATATTAATGCGCTGTTTTAATTGATGCGCGCACACTCGCATACAGAGATCTGAGATTGCGCTGTGCAAAAAGTAACATTCAGAAGCTCATAAACTTGTCAGCGCTGCCACGTGACTTTTATTAATCGATACTGAATCGCTACATTATATATCTCATTAACGAGGGGGGTAAAATCGCTGTTTTTTAAGTAACTAAATTCAGCTTCATTGTTTGTAGAGAGACACACAGACGCAATTTACACATCTCTCTCTCTCTCGCTCTCTCAAAATGGCCATATTTGAGAATTTTTTTTTTAGTAGTTTGCATCACAGGATACAGCTGTCGGGCATTTAATATTTCTATGGTAAAACGTATCGTTAAAAGTTGACTAATATTAAATTATTTGCAGCTTCATCTTACCTCGCTCTCTTTAACGTTAAACTGATACTTCGCGCTCTGCTTCTGTGAACAGTAAACCCTGCTTACTTTGATTTGATTGGCCATCTCAGTCATTTTGACATTGACAAGTGCTGTTAGACCGCTGAGGCTTTGACCTAAAGCGCCAAGTATGTGCAGCGGTTGTGCACGCATCCGTAGACTAGCGCAAGTTAATTCTCACACTTTAATAGTATTTATAGCTCCTAACAGGCTGTGTGACTATGAGAAGTTATTACTTCAAAAGGTAAGTCAGTATGCAGTTTTCCCTATTGCTCGCGTGCCAGCGATTATCC